TTTTTTTTTTTTTTTTTGGGAAACTGCTCCATCTATTGGTGGGGAGCATCGCCTGCTGGAAACCGGGTCCAGCGTCCCTTGAAGAATACATCTTTACAAATCTTTCCATTTGAAAAGGACACCACTGTGCTGGAAAAAGGGTCCAGCGTCCCATATCGAAACTTTAACCTCCTTCCTAGCCTGTGGCCTGGTCGGGTAAAGGGTGGAGGGCTACTGGGGGGCACCAGTGGAGTTTCCCTCCTTCACCCAGCCCCTGCCTACCCCATACTTCCCCCGTGGTGTCTATTGTATACTGAGAATCGTGTGATGAGAGTTCAGATCAATGTCATAAAATGGAATACCTCTCTTCTGCTGGAAACTGAGTCCAGCGTCCCTGGCTCAATGAAAAATAGTAGGAAAAGCAATCCCTGCTGGAGACCAGGTCTGGCGTTCCATACGTCATCACAATGAAACGAGGAAAGGGGAATAAACAAGACGGCCTCCAGTGCGCTGCTCAGGTTCTTGGGAACGGTACCACCAGAGACAAAGGGTGAGGGAGGAAAGGGTCTACGAAGTCCTGAGCAGGCCGCAACAGGTTGTTGGGATCAATCTTTGTCCATTCGCGAAAGTGAAGCTGATAATCCCTTGTTATTCCTGTGTGCTGTCCCCTCTGCAGTCCTTTCTCCATCTGATGATGAGCCTGTCCATCGTCTGCCCAAGTTACCCTTGCAACCCATCCTTCCCTCCTCCAGCCCAACCAATCCTCACAGAACTGCGAGATAACCCTGTCAATATCCCCTTGGGTGTGCAGCTGACTTAGTTTTTCCTTAACCGCACCCCACTGGGCCGTAATCTCGTATTGAACCAAAAGTCTTAGTTGCTCCGTGACTTCCCCCTCTTCTACCTGTGCTCCCTCTATTTCCAGGACGCATCTTCTCCACCATATAACCCATAGGACAGCCCGCCTTCCCAGGCAGAACATATTCTCTTTGAATGTATGCCCTTGAATCTGGGGATAGTGTCCCAGAAGTATGGCCCTCCATTCCCATGGCCAAGTCGAGCCCGGTACCATGTGTCGCAAAATCCTGTCCCACCACCTCCACAGTAGGACATCCGCGGGACACTGAAGGAAGATGTGCTCTATCGTCTTGGAACATTTTTTACCGTGGTAGCCCTGGAGACATCTGTGACACCAAGGCAGTGCTTGCCCCTGCTGTTCCAAATGGGAGTGATTTGTTAGCCAATCGTTAGTTGGTAGGCACCGGTGTGCAATCTTCCATTGTAAGGCGGAGATCTTTGCCGGCCTCTTTCCATAATCCGCAAACCACCTTATGGGTTTTAGCAAGCCCCGATCCACATTGAGATGGCGATACCATCTATCTTCTACATTATCTCACAGCCTGCGTTTAGGTCTGAGCATTCGGTATACTGACTTAGATTTTAAGCCAGCAAGTGTTAATGACCTTGCCCTTCCCCCCCTGCTTGAATTTCCAGAGCTTCTCGGATCATTCCAGGACCAGTGCCTCTCCTCGAGGTCGAAGGGGAGGTCCTCAATCAGGATCATGTGTCGATAGGCTCTCCATCCTCTACATTCGTGAATAATTCTGACGAGATATACTTCTTTTTTTTCCTTCCAGATAAAGGGTTGTTTGCTCCCTCGTAGTTGATCCTCCTTTTGAATGGAGAAGACTTCAATCAGCACTTGCGTTTGGTCTACCAAGTGAACCCGCCCTACTTGATTTCCACAATTGGGGAAATCCACCCAGTCTCCTTCTACCAAACGAGGGCCCTTCCGGAGGGTAATGTACCAGTGGAGGGGGAAAATGTCAATGAGATCGTTAAGTGCGTCCTCAGTGAAATGACAATATCGCAACCATGAACGCATTCTTTTTGCACTTTTCCAGTTTCTTGTACTTGAGTCTCAAAGGTCCCTCACCCTCCTGACCCCGTGTTTCACCCAACCTTTCCATGGAGAGTCTGAACTACATCTCATGCGACCGAGAGACTCCGTGATCAGTCTATTACCAAACAAGGGTTGTCTGAAGATTTCCTCCGACCTATTTGGTGTTGGGCAATCAGGAGGGGGAAGCTTCCTCCATACTCGTAGGAGGCGC